ATTTTTTCCTTTATGTTTCAGTTTCTTGCATTTTATACACGCCTTTACCTGATTAAAGGTCACAAAGATTTTCTATTACATTTTAGATTTAACTTTTATGTTTAGGTCTATGATCCATTTATTAACCTTTTATGTTTTGGTCTACAATGCATTATTTTTTGTATATGGTGTGAGGTAAGGGTCAAGATTCATTTTTTTTCCATATCAATATCCAGATTTTCCAGCACATCTGTTAACAAAAGACTGTCCTTTTAAAACTGAATTACATTGGCCTAATTACTGAAAGCCAGTTGATACTGCTGAAAATCAGTCAATATATGTATGAACTTATCCTTACACTAACACAACACTGTCTCAATTTTTATAAATTTACAGTAAGTCTCAAGGATAATTTTTGGTAGTTTAACTTTATTAGGGAAATATTTCATAGATATCAAATGGTAACAGACTGTACTAAGTGTCAAAATATCACACATATGAATACTGAATATGAAAATTCTTTTCATCCCAAAACACAAAACTTATCCATTTATTTTTAAAGATAGCAACAGAGAGTAAGAGCGAATTGACTACAGAAGTCAAAAGCTAATTGACTTCATTTATATGATTCACATACTTCAACTGCACTTGCTCACTACCTATTCAGACAGCACTGGCACTGCCCCAGGGCCCCCTAGAGATAAACCTAAAAGAAATTCCAGTTCCTATAGTGCTCTTTGGCTTACATAAGGCCTTCTGACTTTCTTTTCTAACTAACTGAGTCTACCATATCCTTTAGCATAAAAGAAAAACCAAACTCACTGTCATCGAGTCAGATCCAACTCATAGTGACCCTGCCTTGGGTCTCTGAGGTAGTAAGACTACGGAAGCAGATTGCCCAGTCTTCCTTCCGAGGAGTGGCTAGTGGGTTTGAACCACCAGCCTTCTGGTTAGCAAATGCCTTAGGCACAATACCACGTGGCAGAGCTCCCTCCTTTACCACAGGAGAAAAATTAATACTAATTACTTCCCAAGAATTTTGACTACATCTAAAAAAAGTTCTTCTTGAAATCTACCAGCTTTATAAACAAAACTGACAAATATACCAGCATCTATGATAATCCTCACCACAAAAATGTTGTTTAACAACTGCAGATTTGTAGCCAGTGCTGGAAGGAAAGAAAACATACAAATCTAAAAAGATAGTCCTCTCATGAGAAATCTGCAAAGGAAATTAGGGAAACAATTCCATTTACAATAGTATGTAAGAGAATAAAATATCTAGGAATAAATCTAACCAGGGACGTGAAGAACTTACATAATGAAAACTATAATACACTGCTGAGAAAGATTAAGGAAAACTTTAATAAATGGAAAGATGTTCAATGTTCATGGATCAGAACACTTAATATAGTTAAGATATCAATACTACCCAAATTATCCATACAGTCAATATAATCTTGATCAAAACTCTAACAACCTTCTTTAAAGAAATAGAAAAACCAATCCTCAAGTTTATATGGAATGGCAAGAGGCCCCAAATAGATACAGCAATGTTGAAAGAGAAGAACAAAGGAGGAGGACTTACACTCCCTGGTTTTAAAACATACTTTATACAGCACAGTCATCAAAAAAGCCTGGTACTGGTATGACAATAGACACAGACCAACGGAATAGATGTGAGAGTCCAGAAATAAACCTACACATCCATGGTCAATTTATTTGATGGAGAAAGAAAAATCTTTTCAATAAATGGTGCTGGGAAATTGGATTTCCACATAAAGAAAAATGAAGGAGGACCCATAACTCATACCATACACAGAAACTTATTCAAAATGAATTAAGGACCTAAATGTACAAACTAAAACCATAAAATTCTAAAATCTAGGCTGTTATGCCTTAATTTTTACAATGGATTATGTAATATAAGAACAAAAGCACAAACAGTAAAAGACAAATAGATAAATGAGATCTCATATAAATTAAAAACATTTGTTCATCAAAAGACTTAACCAAAAAAGTGAAAAGACAAGCTACTGACTAGGAAGATGAGTATCTTCAGATACCACATACTCAGTAAGAATCTAGTAACCAAAATATATATAAAACTTTGACAACTTAGCAACAAAAAGACAACCCAATCATAAAATGGCCAAAGGACTTGATTAGACATTTCACCAAAGAGGATATTTAAATGGCCACCAGACACAGAAAAAGATGTTCAACATCATTAGCCATCAGAGAGATGCAAATCAAAACCACAATGAGATATCTTTTCACTCCCACTAGGATGGCTAAGATGAAAAAAAAAAAAAAAAACACGAAAATAACAACTGTTAGCAGGGATGTGGGGAAATTAGAATACCTATCCACTGCTAGTAGGAATACAAAATGGTACAGTCATTGTGGTAAACAGTGTGGTGGTTCCTCAAAAAACTAAAAATTGAACTATCAAATGACTCAACAATTCTACTCCTAGGTATATATACCCAAAAGACTTGAAAACAGAGACTCAAACAGATACCTGTACACCAGTGTTCACTGCAGCACTATTCACAGTAGCCAGAAACAACTTAGATGTCCATCAACAGATGAACAGATTAACAAAATGTGGTACATACATACAATGGAATACTACTCAGCCAACAGGAGAAATGAAGTCTTGATACATGCTACAGTATAGCTGGAGGTTGCAGACATTATGCTGAGTGAAATAAGCCAATCACAAAAGGACAAATACTGTATAACCTCACTTATATAAAAAGATAAGAAAAAGCAAATGCACAGCCACCAAAGTTTATAAGTGGTTACCAGAGGTAGGAAGGAAGGGAAAAAGGAGGGTTAACATAAGTGATGGTAAAATAGCACTGATTAAGAGTAGGGTCACACAATCGATTATTGTAATTGCAGTCAGTAAGTTGTAAACCTATAAAAAAACTGAATTGGCAAAAGTTAAATGATAGATATATTTACAACAATGACAGGGGGAAAAAAAAATAGCTACTGAGACTGCTTATGTACAACCAAACATATCATAGGATTTGGTTCCTTGGTTTAGAGACTTAGGGTCATAGTTTCATTGGATATCCCAGTTAACTGACCTAATAACACGTTCAGTATTTCTGTGCTACCTCATAGTTGTCTGTGTAGTGCCTAGGGTCTTAAAAGCTTGCAAGTGCCTATCTAATGCACAACAATTGGTCTTTCTTCACTGGGAGAAAAAGAGAAAAAGGAGTCAGAAACAGGAGGAGGATATGGCTAATTGCCTCCATGAACAAATGCCTCCTTTGCCATGAGCCCAGAAGAATTAGATGGTGCCTGGCTATCATTACTCAACATTCTGATCAAATATTCCACAGAAGAATCCTAATCAAAATGCAAAACAGAATTTCAAATTCTCACAGACTCCAGACTTTCTGGAGGCATGGAGTCGGGATAAATCCCTAAAACTACTGCCCTGGGATCATCTTTAAACCTTAAACCAAAAATATCCTTTGAAGTCATCTTAAAACAGAACAACAGTTCACCTTAACTACTGAAAAAGGTCTGCCTTGATTGAGCATTATGTTGTAAGAACTATCTATACGAGATCAAATTGACAGCAGCAACTTGAAAGACTGGATAGGAACTTTAGGGGGCGATGAGTTTATGTTAATGAGAGAGGAACAGTTCAGTAAAGGAGAGTGAGAAAAGCTGTACAACTTGAAGAATGTAATCAATATCACTGAAATGTACATGCAGAAACTGTTGGATTGCTGTGTATATTCTCAACAAGATAAATAAAATTTAGAAAAAAAGACAGTCCTTTCATAATTTTCACATTTAATGAAACTTCAAAATTCTAATGATTCTGTAAAATGTGTAAAATTAACATAGGATTATTAGTACCCCGACTATTCTCTTTATTCAATAATGAAGTTTAAGAATAGCAGTTAAGTGGGTCAATAATATTTTGATCATAATCAATACATGATTAGATTAAAATAAACCATAAATGCAATTCTGAACCACTGTAAAATTTCTTAATTTCTTGTAGAACAAAAGACCTAGAAAAAGAATTAAGAAGCTTCCAGGAAATCAAAAATAAAATCTTACTGTACATTTAAAGATTCTGTTTGAGGGATCTATGTCCTATTTAATCAAAGGGAATGTCTCTCTAAAATTAACCAGGTCTAGTTATATTTGAGGGAGCTCTGGTAGCATAGTGGCTAAGGCATTTGACTGCTAACCAGAAGGCTGGCGGTTCAAACTCAACAGCCACTCCTTGGAAGGAAGACTGCGCAATCTACTTCTGTAGTGACACTGCCTCGAAAACCCAAGAAGGGGTCGCTATGAGTCGGGTCCGACTCAACAGCACATAACAACAACAACAGTTATATTTGAAGGCTAGAAATAAGATAACTGGCAGCATGCAGTCATTAACTTAAATGTCACCTACAATAGTGGTCACAAAAAGAGGATCAGTTACAATTCAGACTCTGATGCCTAAGAGAAAATCATATATAAACAATAAAAAATCTAACGTAACCATTTTATATTGCAAGCAAAGAGGAATAATGAATTCTGAATTATATTTCCCTACACTTCCCAGAGAAAGAAACAAAATCACACACTGCTATTTACTCAATCTTTCTTAACATTTTCTAAAGGTACAATTTATACAATACTGTGCCCTTGAGTTTTAAACTTCACTCATTCCTATGTAAAATTCTTTGATGAGCTACCTCTGTTTGCTTCAAACCTTCATAAACACTCCCATACCGGGGGTTAAAAAACAACCTTTTTACTGCAAAGGAGTGTTTATATTTCACTAAATTCCCATTGAGACGATCTCTCCTCAATGCAGCCTTTCAAAACAGCAATACCAACTGTATAGCAGATTACACATGAAATGCTGGAAGCTCTGAACTAAATTTGAGTCTCCACTCTCAGGCTGGCAGTATTGCTTATTAATCTTCACTCATGACTGGAACACCTCTCTTGGCTGAGAAAAAAGGAGAAAGAATAATAAACTCACTTACCCTTCCTTAGACATTCTCAAAGATCTACTTCCTGTAGATGAGAATTCAGATCAACAAACAGGCTTCACTGACCCTCTTGAGAGCTGAACCTCATTTGTTAAAGCACAGAGAACTCAGGCCCTGAGAGGCCCAACAAATTCGGGCACAATGCCGAAACCTAGCCAGGCAATATCCTGGTGACCAATATCCTCAGCTTTAAATACTTGGGAACTCAAAAATAATTTTTTAAAAGTGGAGAGCAACAAAAATAACTAATGGTCCGATCTGTGTAAAACTGCCCAGTTCAGAAAGGAGACAATCCAAATGGCAAGTTCCTGAAAAAGACAGGAATCGTTACTGGCAAACACACAGAAAAAGCAAATTTACCCCCTAATGAGGCCCTCCAACAGTACGCAAACAATGTGCGCTTCACAGCATCCAGCGATCCTCATTTGGGGAAATCATATTTTTGTTTTCTCTGGGTGGGGGGAACCAACAGGATAAATCATTTTATGTTTTAATTATCAGTTTAGTTACTTCCTCCCTTAAAAATGAAAATGTGAAGTACAAGAGAAGGAAGTCTATGTGTGCTGATCATATTACAGGAGGAACCTAAAGTATTTCCACACCGAGGTCTTTTTTTTTTTTTTCCTGATCTCATTAACTGCTCTTAAGGAAAACATCTGTGTTCACAAATATTTCACTCAATCACTAGAAAAATTCAGCATATGTGAAAAGAAATTTTAAGATCTTTGGCATATGAGGGATAAATCCAGAACATTCTAAAGGTTCATTTCAAATCTCTGAGCAAGTTAAGGTTTGAAAGAAAAACATCTGCAACATTCCTGTCTTCTGACCAACATAATGCATAGAGATTAGGCAACAGGAGAAGAAATAAACAAGTCTAGAACACTGAGATGGTAGATCAACCCTCCTAGTGGTGATTCAAATTTAAAATAAAATATACATAATTTAAAGAAATACTACTTGAATAAAAACTTGAATTTTAAAAATTTTTATCCCTTTAAATATTACCTAAATATCTTACCATGAAGGTTTATATTAGTTAAAATATTTAAAATACTCACCAAGGAATTAAAAGCAGTATTAAATACTGTAAAATCAAACTAAGATTATTTTCAGTTTATTTAGAAAAGTAGTATCATGTAATGGAAACAGCATGGACACTGAAATCAGACAGAACTAGACTCAAACACCAGCTACTCTTTCTGGCTGTGGAACCCTGAATAAGTTACTTAACCTAAGCCTGAAACTCTTTATCTATAATGCATCGCCACTGAGTTGATTCTCACTCATAGGGACCTACATAAACACAAACAAAACAAAACAAAAACTCACGGCCATCAAGTCAATTCTGACTCACAGTGACCCCCTAGAGGGTTTCCAAGGCTGTAAATCTTCGTGGAAGCAGATTGCCTCAGCACTCTCCTGCACAGTGCTGACGAGTTCAGATCACCAACCTTTTGGTTAGCAGCCCAATGCCTTAACCAGAGTCCCACCAGAGCTCTAGTATCATTCTTGTTGTTGTTATGTGCCATCGAGTCATTCTTAGAGGGTCTTAAATCCTATGTTAAAGGGCTTAGAATTTATCCTGTACCACATCTATGATGCCACTGAAAGATGTTAAGCAGGGCAATAACAAGATTTTAAAAAAATGATTTGAAGAGGACAAGGCTGGAGGCAGGGAGACCTAACAGAAATACTGTAGTGGTCCAGAACAGTAATGACAGACTAGGGCAGTATTATCAGGAATAAAAAGGAAAGTAACAATCTAGAAATGATTAAGATTCACGTTAAAGTGCGTGTGTATGTGGTATGTGCTTAAATGCACAGAAGGGGGACTGCAAGAACGCTCTGCAAACCACTGATGGTGTTTACCCATGGAAAAGGGGAGGAAGACTGGGAGGGCATGTGAAGGGGAATTTTCACATTATGCTCCACATACTTCTGTATTACCTGAATATTGTACAATAAGAATTTACTCATGGACGATCTAAATAATGTTCAAAATTTTTATTTAAGTGATTAAAATTTGGGGCTGATAATTATATTGCTGCTGTTGTTAGGTACTGTTTAGTTCCATCTTAGGTACAGGGTTTCTTTTGATGGTAATGAAAATGTTCTGGAATTAGAGAGTGGTGATGGTTATACAACTTTGTCGATTCCTCTGAATTGTACACTTCAAATTTATGTTTTATGAATTATATCTCATCTTTTTTTAAAAAAAAAGGAATCCAATTGAATAAGGCAGGTCACAGAAGAGGAGATCCAAATGGCTGTTAGTATATGAAGAGGTGTTCAACCTAATAATTAATCATAAAAATGCAAATTAAAGCCAAAATCAGAAACCACTAGACAGCCACCAGAATGACTTTTAAATTAAATACAGATAGCACTTACTCTAAACCAAAGATGACAAGGTAAGGGGGAGGAGGCAGGGAAACTAATGAAAAGGGAACAATGAGAATGAAAATAACGAGAATATTGACACACTGAAAGATGTAACCCAGTATCTCTGAAAAACTGTACAGAATTTGTTAAATGAGAACCTAACTTGCTACGTAAACACGCACCAAAAACACTGTAAACTATTATCTTAAAAATAATATATATACACACACACACACCCCTACTCCTCATTCATTGACTATCTTGTTATTCAACATTTTGCATTTACAATAATAGTAAAAAATCTACTCTCCAACCATTTTGCACATTAACGATGTATGTCTGTCAGTAATGACTGCTAAGGTCCCTGATGGGGTCCCTGACTGGCAGATACAGAAAGGAAGCTCGTCTTGCATAGTATTTCACTGCTCCAAGAGGGGGTGTGGTCTCCCTGAGTTGACAGGGTGCTGGGCAGAGCAGAGGAGGGGGCTGGAGTGGGGCCAGCAGAGACAGGATGCTACCCAGAGGGTCCTAAGTACCCACAAGGGGCTGAGGTGGGGCAGCAGCAGTCAGTGTCCTGAACTGATCTCCCTCAGAGAAGGACAGGAAGCAGGGCCCAAGGGTCTGACCCTGGCTCCCAGCCCTGAAGGATGAAGGGTGGCAGGGCAAGGCTGGTCCATGGTCAGAAGGAGTTTGGAGACAGGGCACTTGGCTGCCTGAGGCCTGCAGGACCCCACATCAGCTGGCTGGCACCTGTACAGCCCCTTATACTTCCTTGATGCCTCCTCCTTGACAGGCAAGACACTTGGGCAGGAATGGGGTCAGCTGGTGAGTACCCAGCTGGGCCTGGCCGTCATGGCCTCAGAGGAAGCTCTGGATTATTGATTCTCATGGGGACATGGGATGGCAGTGAGAGCCAGGGATGCTCCTGCCTCCTTCCCCTCACCTTGTCATCTTTGGTTTAGAGTAAATGCTGTCTGTATTTAATCTGAAAGTCATTCTGGTGGATGTCTAGTGGCTTCTGATTTTGGCTTTAATTTGCATTGTTACGATTAATTATTAGGTTGAACACCTCTTCATATACTAACAGCCATTTGGATCTCTTCTTCTGTGACCTGACTGTTCAACTGGATTCCCCTTTTTTTTAAAAAAAGATGAGATATAATTCATATAACATAAATTTGAAGTGTACAATTCAGTGGAATTGACAAGGTTTTATAACCATCACCACTCTCTTAATTCCAGAACATTTTCATTGCCATCAAAAGAAACCCTGTACCCTTCAACAAGGTCATGGTGACTTCCTGGCCACAGCCAGCTACCCAGAGGTGCCCAGTGGGCAGTAAGTATCCCTTTACAGCAGCCTGGAACCCTTTGCCCCCAACAAAGCCACCAAGGGTTTTTGGGGTCATTGAGGGGATGAATCAGGGTCACTCAGCCTGAAAATACAGAGAGGGAAGGAAAGGTAGAGAAGGGGTTGGAGAGGGGGCTAGTGCTTGGGCCATGCTGCCTCTGGAATACAACTCTGCAGGCAGCAGTGGACCAAGCTCTCCTAGGGCAACATGGGCAAGGGGGAGGCAGTGGTGGCAGGTAATCTCAGCAGGAGCCTGGTGAGACGTTCACTGTATAGGTGAGGGGGTAAGGTGATATAGTCATCTTCCATTTTTGCATAACCCTCATTTTCATATAACAACCTGGTATTTGGAACCTAACTACGTCAATGTATGAGGAGTAAGTGTATACAGAATTCAAAAGACTAATATTAAAATGTTGGTGAGGTTGCTCCCATACATTGCTGATGGAATTTTAAATCAGTGCAACCACTGGAAAAATCATTTTGCAGTATCTACTAAAACCAAATACATGCTTACCCTGTGGTACAGAAATTCCATTCCTAGGTAGAAACTAAGATAAATTAGTGCATATACGACCCAGAACAGATGTTTAAGAATGTTTATAGCAGTATTAATTTTCAAAATTAAAATACAATAAAATTGACCTTTTGAACATATATTTCTATGAATTTTAATACATTTCTAGATTTATGTAATAACCATCATCCTAAAAAACTAGAATCAAACAGTTCCATCACTCTGAAAAACTCTCCAGTTATCCCCCCTCTGCAGTCACATATACACACACCTGCTCCTAATTCCTGGTACCCACTGATCTATTCTCCATCACTACAGTTTTGTCATTTTAAGCATGTTATATATATGGAATAATACAATATGTAACCTTCTGAGACTGGCCTCTTTAACTCAGAATTATGGCTTTCAGAGTCATCCAAGTTGTTATACGGATCAATAGTTTGATCCTATTGAATAGTATTCCATAAAATGAATGTACCACTTTTTTTTTTTTAATACAGTGACTCAATGAAGGACATCTGGACTGTTTCCACTTTTTGGTAATTATGAAGAGGTGCTATAAACATTTGTGTACAGTTTTTTGTGTGAACATAAGTTTTCATTTCTCTAGGATAAATATCTAAGAGTGAGACTGCTGGATCACATGGTAAACTTGTATTACTTTATAAAAACCTGTCAAACTGTTTTCCAGAATAGCTGCACATTTTGCCTTTCCGCAGCAATGATGAGACTTACAGTTGCTCTACATCCTTGGCAACACTTGGTACTGTCAATATTCTTTATTTAGCCATTTTATAGGCATATGTTGGCATCTCATCATGAGTTTAATTTGTATTTCGCTACTGGCTAATGATGTTAGATATGTTTTCATGTGTTTATATGCATTTGTATATTCTTTTCAGTGACATGTCTTTTGTCCATATTTTAATTGTTTTTATATTGCTGAATTTTAAAAATTCTTTATATATTTGGCATATAAGTGCTTTTTTAAATATATGATTTATAAATATTTTCCTTCAGTCTATAGCAGCTTTATTCTTAATAGTCAAAAACTAGGAGAGGGGAACAAATGTTT